CACATTTGAATGATTCTCATTGGCAATTGAAACAAAAGAAGAAGAAAATTGCCAATATAGGGCTGTCATTTCAGCCCTGTAAACTGTCCTTGACAATATACCTTGTAAAAGGGACAAAATCCTTAACAAGTATCCAAGAAATAAACTATCAACAGTAAGTAGTAAAAATTTAATTGGGATTGTCATTAATTACTAGGAAAGGGGCTACACCCCCACCCCCCCTCTCACATAGGGGTGGGACCGACTGCATAAAATATTTTTGTATTTAAGCGGATCCCACCCTCATGTGAGGTGGTTTACACCCCGATGTACATTGTGATGTACAAATAGCAAAGTCCTAATTACACTAACCACCTCTTCCACCACTAATCGGTGGCCGGGAAGGTGTAGAACCGGACTTGAGGTGAGGCCCGAGAGGTCATCGCCCTAGTCCCAGCCATGTAGGGAGCCCAAAAGAAAATTTATGTTTTTTTTCTAATTCACTTTTTAGCCCAAATTAAAGATTAAAGCCTCACATGCATATTGTATTCTTCTCAATTATGATTCTCTCTGGTCGAAAACCTAGAAAAACACTTCATTATTGAGAATTGAAACATTTCTTCATCGAGGTCTCTCTCGCATAATTTTTTTCATCAAAAAATTGGTACGATTTCTAATTCCTATATGTTCGTTGCATAAATCAAGCTGTAAAACATATGCATTGACAAATCAGCATGTAGTATCGCAAGAATCGTATGAACTTTTGTTTATAACTACTGTATTTTATATTTTTATGGAAAAGTTGACCAATTACTCCATGTATTTCGAAGGCTTTGCAAAGAAATTCATATGATGGTGAAATGCAGTAATGTCTTATCGTTGTAATTTTTCTAGTTGCATGAAATCGAGTCCCATACAATTAAATAAAAATTCGTGAGAAAAATAAAAGCTATCTTGTTACCTGTGTGTCGGTAACTGGTAAAATCCGAGCTTGAATTCAAATTCGATTTGTATACTAATAATATTCTGATCGATATGAATTCAAGGTGTAACGTGTTGGCCAATGCACAAAAAGTGTTCAATGGGATGCCTCGGAGAGATCTTGTTACTTGGAATAGTATGATCTCAGGTTATAGCTCAAGTGGGTATTGTGAAGAGGCATTGGAAACATATTATCAATTAAGAATGTCGGGTTTAGTGCTTGACTAGTGACTTGTTTACATTTTTTAGTGTTCTATCATTACAACAAAAATAGCTTTTTACGGCAGATGTTTACGGTGTGCTATTGACGCGTGCCGTAAAAATAGACTTTTTACGACGTGCAAAAAATGTGTGCCGTAAATTATCGATTGCATAAAATACTTACGGCTTTATATAGATTGCGGCCGCACGCCATAAAAAGGTTTGTACGGATTGCAATGCACGCCGTAAAAAAGTACATTTTGTGAACAATATCTTGACAAAAAATTATGTCACAACAAAGATTTAATATATGGGCTATATTATCTATTGAAAAAGAAATTGTGAAACAACTTGACTATTCAAGATTGATTGATATTTTTTGCCTCTAAAATCGTAAGAGGAGTTATATTTAAGTGATTGTTTAGATCATTTTATCATTATTATTTAATTGTAATATTTTTTAATATTTCATTTTATTGGTTGTTTTATTGTTAATTTTAAGTTAATAAATTTAATTCGGTAAAACTCGTATAAATTTAAAAAATTGATTGTTTGTTATAGGAATTCAAATTCTAAAATTCTGGGGAGGCCCTGCAAAACACAGGCATAGCCATAGAGAGGTGTTCTTCCTACAGTTAACATTGTCAGAATGGTGTTGGAAGGCAAGTCAGCGGCGTCTCTTTGTTGCTTGTTACAACGCCACCGTTCTTGTAACACCCCCAAACTAGGTACCTAGATCTGAAAGTATTACCACTTCATTCTTTTTTTAAAAAAATCATAAATGCGAAAAACGATTAAATTTTTCTTTGACATAATAAGTATCAATGACTTATTATTTTAAAATAATTTGTGGTCAACAAAATATAGAACAATTAAATCGAATTTTAAATTTAATTACAAAAACGAATTCAACCTTTAAATATGATAGTATTGAGTTCGTGTGACCAACAAGTTGTCACCTCGCATTATCTTGCGTTCATCATCTGAATATGGGAAGGGATAATGTGGGATGAGCTAACGCTCAGT